CGGGTGGGCAATTACCTATATTAAACGTTCATATGCAAATGTCTGTGTAGAGAATTTTATTGTGATTCCAATGATAACAAAATTAGCGATGTAGGACAACTGTAGGCTTCGCAACCATTAAGAGAGTGGAAACATTTTGTTGCTGTTTGGCGCTCTCGGCGAGTGATCTGCATAGTTTTTTATTTGGTGTTGATACTCCTTATGCTTGGGCGGCATTTTATAGGTATGCTCTTATAGACAATTTCATTGCGAACACAGTGATACCAAATTTAAATACGTGCGCCTTCAATTATTGTCAGGACAGTCAAAAGAGTGTACACTTTTTCGGTCTTACCGCGTAGGCGCGCGAAGTGCCGAAAGCATCTGGGGTATTGTTTTTTTTTGAGCGCCGAGAGCACGAAAGTGTTAAGACAATTGTCATGCCCTTCAAGAAAACCTGAACAAAATAAGTGTATGGAGCACCATTTGGCAAATGGAATTTAATATGAATAAATATCATGTTAAGGAATGTGGAGTAAGAGAAAATACACCACACAGCCTACAAATTATGTGAAAAAGCTTTAAAAAAAAATTCTGATAAAAGAAAGAAATCTAGGGGTGGTTCTAGATAAAAAAAAAACTACAGTATCACCTGAGAACCACATAAAGAGCATTGTACAGGTAGTACAATGTGCAGTTCTGTGTTGGGTGTGTCCAACATTCTCACAGACGTTGAAGATCAGCAGAGAGCCTCAAACCATCAAGGAACATCTCCAGAATAATCCTTTGATACAAGCCACATAAAAAAGTACAAAGATAAGGATGAAGAAACCAAAGACAAGGAAACCAAGGATGAGCAAGCCATTGAGGATCTGAAAGAACCACAGTGCCAGCAAACATCTCTAACGTGAAAAGAATGAGGGAAGACAACGAAAATCTCATCAACTCCAGTACAGTCAAAAGACTGAACTGGAGGCTTCCACCCTGAAGGCTTTGTAATCCAAACACAAAGCCAAGTACACTGGGAGCCGTTGATTCCTGGCAGACACAAAGATGTCCACCTATATATATTTTATATAGAGCATATATTTTTTTTCAAAAATCAATGGAGGGACACATTTACTGTCTACATTGCAGCAATATGACAGAAAGGAGGGAGACCATCCATGGGCCCATTGGACACCCCCATGCATAAGAATTGCAGGAAGAGTCAAACCCCAAGAATCCAGAAAGTGAGAGGTAGATGAATGAGCCGAAGAAAATGCCAAACTGGTGCCAACTTGCATACTATATTGTGCCTCTGACCAATGACCCTAAATCCCCCGGTCAAAGGCATCCATTAACAGGTCGAGCAAATAATTGAACTGAACAAATAATTTGGACAATTCTTTAATACTAAGACCCAATTCTAGTATTCACATGGTCAATCCCCAGCTAAAATGATTGACTATACTGATTGTCAACACTTACCATAATGAAAGCTCTGCTGTACAATACTGATACAGTAGGTGACCAGTATTGCACAAAGTTAAGAGAGGTCGGTTTACAACTAAATGATTCAGGGTTCCTTTCTCAAGCAAGCTTCCTTATACCTGATGCCTCTGATCACTCAGCAGTAAATAGTTATGTGGGAGTTAGTGAACTGCTGTGGATGGCAGCCTAGTACATGGCCAGTTGTTAGGTGGATCTCCAGAAAATGCTGTTTCCCAACAATGGGAGACAAAACCACAGCAGCCAATAATTTCATGTTTACTGTCATGGTGTAGAATTCATCGTAACACACACATCTACAAATTAGAAGTTTTTATTTACTTTTTTTTGTATGACTGCACTGAAAAAGATGAAGTACAGCTTAGAATACAGCTTAGAGTACTAATATTTGGTTTGCCAGCACCCATTTTGTATATTCTGACACTGGCAGCTGGCAATACCAATTGTGGTGAACATAAATCAGGTTTAAAATGCCAATGTTACACAAAAGCTTTTTTATTTTGTTTTTGTAACCTAAAATAAGATGGTAATACGTATCTAGGATAAAATGGTATGGCATATAACCGAGAACAATTTACAAAATATTCAAAAACATTTTTTAAATAAGAAAAATGTATTTACTTCACATGTACTGTATTGTGAGGTAACTGAAGCTTGTGGGAAGAATACATCACTTCATACCAAAGACTGTTCACCAACTAATTTTAAAAGCTACCTAACCTATCCAACTCAACCCAACATAACCCAACCCCAATCTAACTTAACCAAAGCCAACATAGCATAGCTAAGACTATACTGTATGCAGTTTTAGCAATTAGAGTTTTGTCAAAATACCTGTACAGTGGCACCTCGAATTACGACTGCCCCTATTTACAAATTTTTTGAGTTACTGTACGATGTAAATTTTGTCGGAAAATGCAACTCGACTTACGACCTTTGCCTCGACTAGCGATTTTGATATGCGTATGGGTCGACCGATCGCATGGTTCCTGGTGGCATGGCTGACCCAGCATCAGTTTACCAAGCGGATGGCTCAGGTAAACTGAGGCTGCTTGTAAAGAATCATACTTGTAAAGAATTTCATAATTTTTTTTGCTTTATTTGTTTTTTGAACATAAAAGTAATTATTATATATCATGCCATGGTTCCCAAGAAAGTCAGTGGTAAGGTTCAACCTAAGAAAACACATGTGAGGATGACCATAGAGGAAAAACAAGAGATCATTTGTAAACATGAAAATGGTATGAGAGTTGTTGATGTAAAGTAGATGATGTCCCTTCCGTATTTCTTAAGAAAATACTGTATGTGCAGTACGGGAAGAATTGTAAAGTTTTGCTGAAAAGTGTCACCTAAATCAAGCTGTAGCAGGCCATTGTGTTAACCCTTTTAATGACAATGTGATGTCTCACTTCAGACAATTGTTACAATGTAGGGAAAAACAAGTGTCACCAGACAGGTTTTTAGTGAGAAAAACAAGCAGTGAGCCACAAGCATGTCCTAGTGGTATGCAGGCAAAACGTAGGAAAGAGAGTACCCCAGAGAAGTCATCAATGCCTGACGTTATAATCGAAGGGGGCTCCCCTTCCAAACACTAACACCTCTCTATCTCACCGTCTTCCATACGCCAACAAGAGTCCTCATTCAAGGTAAGATATACATACAGTACTGTATTGTAGCTAGTACAAAATGAGTGTTATTCGATATGAAATGTATTTTAAGTTAATTTTTTGGGGGTGTGGAATGGATTAATTCAATTTACATTACAGTGTACTTCTTATGGGAAAATTCGTTTCGACTAATGAATTTCTGACTTACGACCCGTCTCTGGAAACAGATTAAATTCTTAAGTCGAGGCCCCGACAGTACATGATTTGACCATAACCCGATAGGAACCACCCGAGGACATTAAGTGCCAGGTAACCCTATCAACCCCCCCACCCCACACAATATAAGAGCTTTGAGGGCAGGAAGTGCCACAGGTGGGAAGTGGAGGTCAAAACCTTCCCATCTTGAGACCACAACATATGCCCAGAGCAAGAATTTAGCAGCAATTACAGAGTTGACAGTGATAGGTACCATCAAACTGTACACGGGTATTTTGATAAAGCTCATTTTATGTCTTAAAATTATATATGCAATTAGCTCAGGTCAGGGCAGGTCAGGTTAGGCAAGGCGAGGTAAGGTAAGGCAGTCTGGTAAGGCAAGATTAGGCAAGGCTAGGCTAAGCAAGGCAAGACTAGGCTAGGCTAAGCAAGGCAAGACTAGGCTAGGCTAAGCAAGGCAAGACTAGGCTAGACTAAGCAAAGCTAGGCAAGGTAAGGTTTGTTTACGTTAGGAAAGGGCAGAGTAGGATAGGGTAAAATAACAAGGTTTGATTAGGAGGGGTGGGATTGGGTTGAGCTAGGTTTGGTTGGGTTAGATTATGTAGGCTTGAAAATATATGTCAGTTACCTACATCCAAGTAATGAATCTTGAGTACCACATAACCTCTATGAAAAAGTAAAATGTGAAAATACAAGTTCTTAAAAAACTCTTACCAAAACAAAGGACTGTGGCAATGTCTAATAAAGGTGGATGGGGCACTACACTAGTTGTATCATGTTAATAAAACACCACTATTCTCTTCCATTAGGCCTACACTTATTTTCACAAAGAAATATTAAATAATCATCAAGTTTTGCCTTTCCTAGTTACGTAACCCTCACTTTTCGGCCAAAATACTGCAAATGCTGCACAGGTCTTTAATCTTAAGAAGCACATCAACAAACTGGAAAAGATGCAAAGACATGCTACTAAGTGGCTCCCAGAACTGAAGGGCAAGAGCTACGAAGAGAGGTTAGAGGCATTAAATATGCCAAAACTAGAAGACAGAAGAAAAAGAGGTGATTACAGGGAGGAGAGGACAGGGCGTGACGGAGGAGAGGCAAGAGTGGAAAGATCGGGGTGTGATAGGATGGGGAGGGGGGGGGGAAGGGAGGTAAGGGAATTATCAGTAGAAAACAATAAGCCATTATGACTACATATCACATTGAAGGGGAAATAAGGATTTGGGAAAGGATGGAGGGAAAGAATGTTGTCCAACCACTTGGACAGCCGGGGACTAAACGCCAACCTGCAAGAGGGAAGACCGTCCAGTCCAAGTAGGTCAGGCAGGTTGTGACTGAAGATGGACAGGGAATGAGACGGCAGAGAGGGACAGAGGATGGGGAGTGACAGAGAACAGGCAGGGAGTAACAGAGGATGGAGAGGGAGCGAGCGAGGACAGCAGAGAGTGAGACATGGCAGGGAGTGACAGAGGACAAGCATGGAGTGACAGAGGGCGAGTTGGGAAGACAGTACAAGCATGGAATGACAGAGGACAGGCAGGGGAATGACAGAGGACAAGCAGAGTAACAGAGGACGGAGAGGGAGTGAGCGAGGACAGCAGGAAGTGAGAGACAGGAGAGAGTGACAGACTACGTGACAGGAGACAGGTCCAGCACCTGCAGCAGGCCACACACACACACACAGCCGCCCCGGGAGGTATTCACCTGGTCTGGCCTTCTTCTTGGCCTCCCGCACACGCTTCCTGCACCTGTGGTCCATGATGCCGCCGCCGCCGCCTCGCCCTTCACTACACAACAAGTATCCACAAGCACCACCACTCTCGCCGAGTCTCTTACTTCATAACTTGATGTGTACACAACGTGTTATTTGCACAGTGCGGCGGCCCGCCTCGCTCTCCTATATTATACCCGAGTATACCTCACTGGACTATTATATCCGAGTATACCTCAGTATACTTGGATTTTGTATGCCGAGTATATATATATAAATATATATATAAATATATATAAATATATATAAATATATATATATATATATATATATATATATATATATATATATATATATATATATAAATATATATATATATATATATATATATTATATATATATATATATTTTACTATAAAAGCATTTTATATTAGAGGCGAGTGCACGAGGTATAATGTTGTGTTGATTTAGGGGCGACGACCATCGTGGGATACGAGATATAATAATGAGCGGAGTTGTGGGAAATGTTTTGTAGGGTGAAAATAACACCGATACACGTGACCCTCCCCCCCCCCCCCCGCAACTTTCCGCCGGCCTCTACTAATACACTACAATGATGATGATAATATGAACAATAGCAACATTGATCATTTATTTATAAGCAAAAATATACGCTAGCAATTTAACTCTATAAATACACTGTTAAGCATTGTTATTTAATTTTTTGGCCGCTAACCACGTTTATGTACAGACTCACAGGTCTGTTAGTTAGCAGATAAATAAAATATAATAAAAAATAAAACAAAAAAGTACCTAATTTCATCTTTTTTTTTTTTGAGATATATAAAAGAGTTGTTACATTCTTGTACAACCACTAGTACGCGTAGCGTTTCAGGCAGATCCCTGGAATACGATCCCCGCCGCGAAGAATCATTGTTACAACCAAGTACACATTTTACTGTTGCGTTAAACAGAGGCTACAGTTAAGGAATTGCGCCCAGTAAATCCTCCCCGGCCAGGATACGAACCCATGACATAGCGCTTGCGGAACGCCAGGCGAGTGTCTTACCACTACACCACGGAGACTGTATAGTTTCTTCATAGTTTCCTACCTAGAGCTTTAACTCGCACTGTATCTACTGCTACCCAATCCCCCAATATTTGTAAATAAATAAATAAATAAATAAATAAATAAATGTTTATTTAGGTAAGGTACATACATACAAAAGATTTTACAAAGATTGCAGTTGTGTCCGGACCACGGTGTGTGCGGTCGCAAGGTTGGCGCTCTTGGCGTCCGCTGCTTGGTGGGAGGTGGAGTATTGCCCCACACTCTTCGTTTTTGCACGTGGTGATACAGGATATTGTGAATTTGTTCTCGATTGTTGACAGCGTCAAAGAAATAGCTGAGGCGGTATGCCTAAGTGGTAGTGAGGAGGACAGACAAGATGATAACAGACCGTTTGAAGTAGTAGTGAACAGAAAGAAACGGAGAAATAATAACAGACAGCGAGACAGTGAGAGTGACGATGAAATTACAGAGACCAAAGAATAAGACCCTACTCAGCAAGACTCAAGACAAGCAATTTAATAGAAGGAAGAGGCTGTTGTTCCCTACAACATGCCAATTGAATTTCCACCAAAAGCTAGAGTGGACGGTACGTCTGGCTAAAGAATGTTTGGAATACGAACCACTCTTCAAGGAGGGTCTTCACCGGCCCTACATAACAGTTGGGACTGAACAGGCCGTGGAACGCCTCACGACGGTTGGTTTTGAAAATGTAGTGATGGTTCCTCCAGAAGAAGGTATGTTGCACACAAAGATCATAGTTTTCAAGTTTCCAACTTATTTGGATCCTGACTGTCTTCTTCTTAACAATGATAATGTTGTCTGGGCAAAGAGGAACAGTGTTCGTGGTGACAAACACCTCACCGTGGTTCGTGGTGAGGAGCCCATTTATAAGGCAAATCGGACACTTGGATTTATTAATCGCAGCGTTAGTAACAAGACACCTGGTGTGGTTCTCAAGCTATATCTTGCTCTAGTTAGGCCCCATTTAGATTATGCAGTTCAGTTTTGGTCGCCATATTATAGAATGGATATAAATTCACTTGAACGTGTCCAGCGTAGGATGACTAAGTTAATTCCCCAAATTAGAAATCTTTCATATGAAGAAAGATTAACAAAGCTTAAGTTGCATTCACTGGAAAGGCGAAGAGTTAGGGGTGACATGATAGAGGTTTACAAGTGGATGAATGGACATAACCGGGGGGATATTAATAGGGTATTAAAAGTATCAACACAGGACAGAACACGAAACAATGGGTATAAATTGGATAAGTTTAGATTTAGGAAAGACTTGGGTAAATACTGGTTCAGTAACAGGGTTGTTGATTTGTGGAACCAATTGCCGCGTAACATTGTGGAGGTGGGGTCCCTCGATTGTTTCAAGCACGGGTTGGACAAGTATATGAGTGGGATTGGGTGGTTATAGAATAGGAGCTGCCTCGTATGGGCCAATAGGCCTTCTGCAGTTACCTTTGTTCTTATGTTCTTATGTTCTTAACAAAGCCAGGTTGTTGCCTTGGTAAAGGGTGAGGCGCCGGAGAAAATTTTTGTGCAAGGACTAGGCTATAGGAACGTTGCAAAATACATTGAGGAGCCCATACTGTGTATGAAGTGTTCACGTTGGGGACATATGGCATGGAAATGCCAGTTTGACCCCAGGTGTCGGTATTGTGGGAAGAAACACGACTCGCGAGAGTGTAAGAGTCAAGATTGAAAGAAGTAAAAAAATCATCCCATTTTGTTGCAACTGTCGAGGCAGCCACAATGCTGGTTCCTCTCTATGCCCCATGAAGCCTCATCTGAAAGAGACTAGGACGGATCTTACAAGCAGGATAAATGTATCCTCGCAGCAAGGAAAGATTGTGCAAGAGGAACATGGAGGAAACAGTTGGAAGCCAACGGCAGCCCCTATGATCAATGTGTGGGAAAAAGGGACGGAGAAAGTAAAGGCGAGCTTAGGGAAAGTACATCATGCAGTGGAAAAACTGAAACCTTGTGACGACAAGGTTCAGGACAATATGGTCACCTCTGAGGTTGGTAATCAAATTTTGGAGTATCTAAAAAAACTAGATAAGAGGATTGAGGCATTGGAAAAATTGGCTATGGAAGGTAGACGGGGTGAAGATGGTGGTGAAACAGGACGTGTAATTGAAAGTGAAACAGGACGTGAAATGGAAAGTGAAACGTGCGTAGAAGAAAGTAATGATGTGCATGACGTAACGATGATAGAGGATAGTCAGGAGAATACACTTTCTAGTAGAGTTCGAGGTGTTCAACCTCCTGTTGTGACAAATGGTGAAAGAACGGTTAAAGTAAAACGGGTTACAGAAATAACAAAGAAAATAGATATGAATAATATTACCTTCGATGTTAGTAGTAGTTGTGAAGGTGAGGAGAAAAAAAAAATGTTACGGTGTTGGAAGGAAGTTTCTAAATAGTCTCGTATCTCATGGAATGTGACGGACAGGGCAAAGGTAGTTTTATTATTAATCATGGATGAAAGTAAATTGAGAATATTATCTTGGAACATTAATGGATTAAAAACTAGAGCGGTGGATGTACACTATTATACTCTTAGAGAGGATATTGACATAGTAGCACTCCCTGGGGAAACTTGGGATAAGGATGGTAGTATTCTGAGGCTAAATGGCTATAGAGGTTTTCACTTATATGCTGATGGAGGAACTAGGGGGGTCTCATGTTATGTTAAAAGTACCATACCTGCCGAGATAACTGGAATCCCTCAGAGATATAGAGGTATTGAAAGTATTAGCTTGCGGATACAATTAAAGGACCGAGAGTTAAATTTCATTAATCTATACATCTCTGATAGCTCCCTTGATTTAAGATACTTGCCAGATTCCTTCTTTTCTGAAGATACACTTGTGGTAGGGGATTTTAATGCCAGACATCCAGCTTTAGGATCAAGGGGTAAAGCAAATAGGAATGGTTGCAGATGGTACCAGTTTTTGCAGGAATATGAAGATGTTCAACTGCTGGGCGAGCCCTCTCCTACTCATTTGAGGGGAGGGAGATTAGATTATGCTTGTTTAATAAATGCTGAGGGCATAGAGGGGAATTGTCTTACTGTGGATGAAATGCTAAGTGATCATTTTGCATTACAAATACAGCTTAAACTAGATAAAAAGCATGCCTGCCTTCAGAGGAAAAGGTTAAAGTTTAATGAGGGAGAATTAAGGGGCCTTGTTGGCCATATTAAGTCTTGGTATGATACTTATAAGCCAGTTTCGGCAGAAGCATTTTATGAAGATTTAATTAAGGAGTTAGATGTATTTAATGCAACATTGAACCGGAAACCATCTAGTATAAAAAGGCATCCCCCCAGAAAAGAAAATTATACACATGACAAGATGCTTAAGGGGTGGACATTAACAATGAGGAGAGCTCACAGGAATTGGAATAGGAATGGTAGGACTGAGGAAGGGAAGAATGCTTTACTGGTAGTTGCTAGGCTATGTGGGGAGAAGAGAAAGGAAATAAGGAGCAAGTATTGGCAGGCATTTGCAGAGAAAGTTGGGAGTAACAGAAACTTGAAGGAAATCTGGCAAGACGTAAATAAAATAAGGGGTAAAAAGCATAATTTTGTTGCACATCCTGACCCGCAAGGAATTGCAAATGGGCCCGTAAATAAATTGGCGGAAGTTGCCAAACTTAGTTCATTACCCGCTGTAACTAGAGAGTCATTAGATTCTTGGAAAGATCTAAGAAAGGATTCTATACTTACAGCAGGTAACAGTGGTGACGTCACTTGCACAGGTATTAACAGAGATGAACTAATAACGGCGATTAAAGTTGGGAAATCTACCGCACCTGGGGAGGATGGAGTAACTTATGAAATACTTAATGAACTTGCCATTATGACGAAAAGCCCACTGTTAGACCTCTTTAATATTAGTTATAAAGAGGGCAGTATTCCCAGTAAATGGAAAAAAGCTATGATCATCCCTATCCCTAAAGCCAATGAAGAGTATAGACCTGTGTCTTTAACCTCGTGTTTTTGTAAAATGATGGAGAGGATCATTTTAAATAGACTTTTATATATAATAGGTGATCAGCTGTCTAGTAATTTGTTCGGGTTCCTCAAAGGAAAACGTACCTCTGATTGTATTATTAAATGTCTAGCTAATGAAAATGATTATTATAGAATTTTCATTGATTTACAAGGAGCTTTTGATAAAGTCAACAAAGAGGTTATTTTATATGAATTAGCTAGTCTTGGTGTTAAAGGGAAATTATTGTGCTGGATAGGGGATTATCTTTACGAAAGGAAGGCTCAGGTGTGGTATCAAGGTTGTATGTCAGGTGTGAGGTCTTTTGAACTCGGCACACCTCAGGGAGGAGTGTTGAGTCCCACCCTGTTTAATGTACTAATGAATAAGATAGCATCTGAGAGATACTCAAATGGGGTAACTCCGATCACATATGCCGATGATATTTTGTTTCAGGGCAAAGATATTTCAAAGGTTCAAACAGTGTTGGACAATTTCCTGTGTCACCATATGGGACTGGTGGTTAATGAAAACAAAACTAAGTTTGAATGTAGAAGTCGGAGCCCCATTGTATTGAAAATAAACGGTAAAAATATAGAGAGAGTTAATATATATAAATATTTAGGCATATATGTTGGATATACCCATGAGAGTTTGGAAGCTGAGATGAGCAGACTGTTGGGTCAATGTCGGAAGAGATTACAACCTCTGAAGGCCTTGGCATGCTGTGGAAAGGGAGTGGGAGTCCCTGTGCTACGAATGATATACTTGAGTACTGTAAGATCTCTTATTAATTATGCTGCACCTGTCATTTCTTGTTTTGGTAAAGGTAGGATGGGCAAGTTGGAGAAGGTACAAAATGAAGCCATGAGAATTATCTTAGGATGCCCAAGAAATGCTATGATTGAGATAATGAGGATGGAGTTGAATACGCAGAGTATTGGGGATAGAATTGAAGAGATAAATGTAGCCTCTGCCATTAGATTAATGAGAGGTGGGGGGAGCTAATGAATTAATCCTCTCGGTTCAAAAGGTGGGAAGTAGTGAACAGTGTATGATGAAGAAGAGAGTATATATGAATAAATTATGTTATAAAGTATGATGTTATTACAGAGTGTATTGCTGTGCCCAAGAGAAAATTCACACCACCATGGGAGGATTGTAATGTAGATGTAGTAATTACTCCCTTGTATAAGAAAAAAAGTATGTATGAAATAGGAGAGCTGAGGGCAACATATGATTGTATAATTAGAAAACTGCCTACAGAAAACACTCTACATGTATATTGTGATGGGTCAGTAGCTAGGGATGGGAAAGCATGATGTGGAGTCTTGATCAGGGAGTACACTGACATCGGCACTGTAGATACTGTTATTGGACGCCGCTTAACTGACAATGTCTCTTCAACGCAGGCTGAACTCCAAGGAGTATTAGCAGGATTACAGGAAGTAGTCAAATGTGGTAAAAATGCTTGCTTCTTTATTGACAGCAGAGGAGCGTTAGAGTCTTTAAATAGCAGACGCCCAGTATATCAGAATATTGTGATAGAGTGTAGAGAGAATGTTAAGAGACTAGAAAAAACTGGGTATAAAGTAAAATTCATGTGGATCCCTTCACATGTGGGAATACTGTTGAATGAGGTAGTTGATGACATAGCGAAGAGAGCCACTGAAAAAACTCTTGTTGATGTTGTATAATAATAATAATAATTTTTATTTAGGTAAAGG